CCTTGACACCTTTTGACTAAAATGTCAATCACATATGACAGTTCGTTTTCTAACAAATTCTAAAAGTTTAACAAGTCCCATTTTATTTCTGCTTAATTAGATTAATACAGAGTAAGTCCAAAATCAAAAATTGGTTCAGATCACTGTTATTAGAATCAATAAAGTGAGGCAATTACAGAGGAGAAATTGTAAGCAGTTACTCTATATGGGCAGCTCCTCACTTCTATCTTGAGATGACAAGTCACTACCTTGAAAATCCTTTATTTAGAGAGTTGCTCAAAGTTAGGTTAAGTACTTTTAAGTCAAAGCGCTCTGAGATGCTGTCCAACGTGGAGGGTGTTATATAAATCCAAGTTGTTGTACACCCCCGACCCACACACACGGTTTTGCTATAATTAATTTTGAGGAAGCCTCCTGATGTGAAAAGTGCTACATTGAACGTAAGGATTATTATTTTGCCACAGTACTCATTTGATTGTATAACATTCTAATGGTTTGTAAGTGATGGTATTTGAAAATGTGATTTAAAATTCTTCCAGGCTTATAATAGAATCATAAAACATAGAATTTCTCAGTGCATTAGCAGACGATTTGGCCCATCATGGCTGTACCAGGTTATGCAAGAGCTATCTGTATAATCCCGCTAAAACTCAAAAAACAGATACGCGATGAAAATATGATACACATTCTGATATACAGTATGATTTTTCATGACATGCTTTATCTGCTTGCATTAGTATTTGAAAGCATTTCTGTGTGAAACCAAAAATCATCATGTCACCTAAATGTTATAATCTGTTTTTACATTCAGATTTCTAAAACTTTAATTTTGTTTGGAATCATTTAGTTAAATGATTGTCTAACAAAATCCCAAATTGGTTCAGATCACTTTGTATTCCTAGCCCAACAAGGTAAACTGTATTCATGGCATAAGATCAGCACACAAGTCACCTGACCAAAGTAAGCTGGTAGGTCAATACAGTTTTAATTGGGAGATTAATGAAGGACAGATAGAGCACTCAAAGCTGTTGCCATTGCAGCCTTTTAATAACACTATTTTTAACACACTGTATTCATCCATCCTTCGGATGAGACATTAAACCGAGATCCTTTTCAGGTGATATGCTATTCGAAAATAGAAGGGAGTTTCTCCTGGTGTCCTGGCCTCCAGCTTAAAACTGGTCACATCATTCACTCCATGATTGTTTGTGGAACATTGCTGTATGCAAACTGGCTGTCGTGTTTCACCCACAAAATATACAGTCAGTCTAATTTCAGTATATCCTGTGATGTGCTTTGAGACATTTCAACAACATGATAAGACAATATGAAATGCAAAGCTTATTATTGTTGATAATTTTATCATTATTTAGATTTAGAAACTGATAGCAGCTCCTGAAAGAAGATGGAACAGTTTTTAATTCTTCAAGAAAGAGCATACGTTCCAACACATCAATCTGCCATGGTGCTGAATGCTTCCAAACCTGACTTGAAGCAGAAATAGATAGAAGTATGCATAGATATTTTGCATGACACTAACTGAGAAGGTGAAATGATATTAGGATGTACGAATAGGAAACTTATATACTCCACGGATGAACTTTCAACTCCGTTGAATTTGCCAGGGGGGAAGCTGAAAGAGATCCAAAGGTGTTAAATTGACTCATTGCTCATTATGTCAAAACAGCACGAGCAGTGATAAACAAGGCAAATAGGATCTAGGCTATTTTGTTAAATCAGTTGAATTTAGATCCCCAGACGTCATACGCAGGCTGTATAGTGTTTTAGTACTGCCTGCAGTTCTGGTCACTGTGACATAAGGGGGTGGCCCAGGCCCAGGAGGCAGTGCAGAGAAGAGCAACGAGGATGCTCCAGAGTGTTAGAGGAATGAGCTATGAGCTCTGCTACAAACGCCCTCCTCCGCTATCAATGTAGTTTCTGGCCCCGGACATCTGTACAAACACAGGGAGCTGTGGCCGGGGGCTCGTGCTGTTTACCTGAAGTGACTGTGGGCGGGTAGCTCAAGCGGGAAATGGGTTTCACTCAAGGGCCCTGCTGTTGTGATTGTCTGTGTGTCTCTTTGTGTCTGTCTGTCGCTATATGAGTATGTGTGTGTCTCTTTTATATACATATATGTGTATGTGTTTATGAGTGTCTCTGTGTGTATGTCTCTCTGTGTCAAGTGTGTGTGTGTGTGTCTCTGAGTGTGTGTCTCTCTCTCTGGGTCTCTGAGTGTGTATGTCTCACTCTGTGACTGTGTATGTTTCTCCCTCTCTGAGTCTCTGTCTCTGAGCGTGTTGTCTCTCTGCATCTGTATGTGTCTGTATATGTGTGTGCCTCTCTCTCTCTGGGTCTCTGTATGTGTCTCTCTCTGTGTCTCTCAGTGTGTGTGTCTTTGTGTCAGTGTGTGTGTCTTGGTGTGTGTGTGTGGGTTTCTCTCTGTCTCTGTGTATGTGTGTCTCTCTGAATGTGTGTGTCTCTGGGTCTCTGTCACTATGTGTTGTGCAGGGTCCCGAGAGGCACGAGGTGGTGATCTCCAGCAGTCTTTCTGGTTCTCCTCCCCGCCCCCCAAAATGCTCACCCAGTTTTTTGTTAAAGAACCAATTAACAATCTAATATGTGTTATTTCCTCATGTTTAGTTTTTATCAAAAGTAAAAAAATGCAGTATAATAATCATAATTGTTGCATTTGATATAACGCCTTATCACATCTTCGAGACATCTCAAAGTGCTTTACAGAACATACTGAAAAGTGAATTGACTGTATTACATTCAAAGTGGACATTTATTTCAGAAATGAGATTTTTTAAACTCTCATATTTGTACATATATTTAATCAGTTACACAAACTCATAATGACATACATTAAACAACTGTGTGCCAGATAGAGGAAGAGAAAATATAATTATATTGCATCAGTCTGCTGCAAGGAACAAAAAATTGAGAATTGTAATTCTTAATTGAGAATTTGAAATAATAATACTTATCAGCTTAAACTTCACTTATTGAATTTGAATTTTTAACATACCCACTGATCATGTTAACTACTTTGAATATAGAGTAGGATGTAAACATTTGATGTAAATGTCTCATGCTTATTTACATAGAACAGCCATAATAGCTGTTCACCTATAAGCAAAATATGTTCTGATGCAATTGGGTGCACACGAGAGAGAAGGTTATAGGAGAGGGAATTAAGAGGGGTGAAGGCTCATGTTGAGTATAAGCACTGGCATAGGCAAGTTGGATCAAGTAACCTGTTTCTGTGACACAATGTTCTATTCTGTGTAATATTTGTGCATTTTAAAATATTACTTGTTTTAGTTTATACCAGCAAAGATGGTCACATACCCCTCCTGTCAAGTGGACTTTGACCAGATTAGTACCATCTCTCATATTAATGAACCAAGTGTGAGTACCATTGTAAATCTGGGGCCATAGATTGCCTTCTAATTTTTTAAACCTAATATTTGTTCTAAAATTAATCAGACAAGGAGGGTGAATCTCTCCCTGATGACACTTTATGTTTTACTGATTATGGCCAAAGCCTCATGCACGAGCTATTCAATAAATTGAAGTCCCCAAATGATGCCTTAACATTGAATGATGGCACAGCATAGCAATCACCATCTGTGCCAACCATTGTTGATCTATATACACTGTTTCGGTGTCAACCTCACTGAGCCAGTCCGGAACCTTGGCGTCTTGTTTGACCCTCAACTGTCCTTTCTATCCCACATCCATGCCATGACCTGCTCTGCCTTCTCTCACTTCTGTAACATTGCCCAACTCTGCCATTGCCTCTCCCCTCAGGCCGCTGACCCTCATTCGCACATACATTACATCTAGGCTTAACTATGCCAACTTCCCGCTTGTTGGCCTTCCCAACTCTTCCCTCCACAAGCTGCAGAGCATCGAGAACTCTGCAGTTCGTGTCCTCTCCCACAACAGGCTCCGAGACCCTATCACATTTGAGCCTGGCTCCACTATTTCCCCATCTCTCAGAGAATAGAGTTCAAAATCCTTGTCATCTTCCAAGGCCCTCCACAGCCTTGCTCCTTCTTACCCCTGTGACCTGCTAACCCCATATCAACCTGTTCGCACTCTCCGCTCAGCAGGCTCCAGCCTGCTCAACATCCCCCAAACAACCCCACCATCGGCAGTTAGTTCTTCAGCTTCTCTGCCCCCACCCTTTGGAACTAAATCCCCCAGTCCCTTATGTTACTCCCTCCCTTGCTTCTTTCAAAGCAGTCCAGCGCCTTGGGACATCCTCCTGACGTGAAAGGTGTACCTTTCAGTGCTGTGTTATTTGAGTGTTCCGACTTGGAATTTAGTTATTCAAGGCCTGAAATATTTTATAGACTTTGCCTGCTTAAGATGGTTATTTATAAAATTTTACTTCAGGCACGATTTTCGAAAAATTTTCAATTCAGTCATAATTTAGAAGCTACATTTCAAATAGCATCTTGGAAATGGGTATTTTTTCCCCTGAATTTTCATGACAATCCAATGAAACATCTGTTTGTGAGTATTCACTAGATGAAAGCAGGATGGCTTCTGAACCAACCCACTAGAAATTAGGCTGTATCAAGATTCCCCAAATCATCTCTTGTCAAACTCTTAATATGCATCATGGAGAGCAAGTTTGCACTTGAAATGTTTTAGCTATATTCAAACTAAAAAAAGGCAATGTTAAAACCCCCTAAAGCATTCACTCTTCTTGAGTTCTGATTTTAAACCTGACAGAACTCTCAGTATTTTAAAACCCAGAATATTGTGTTTATAATTTGCTGTAATTTGTGTCTATAACTTCAATAACCTGCTGCATTTCACTCACAAAATGCACAGGCACACTTTACAGTATATCCTGTGAAGCGCTTTGAGACGTCTCAACGACATGCTAAGGAGCCATATCAAATGCATGGATTATTATTATTCTGTAACTATTTTCAAACCAGGTGGAAACATTTTTTTAAATATAACAAAAGTCATTTAATGGGTGGAGTAATGAACACTAAGAAAGTAGCAACAATACAACTTTACATATACAAGTATATTAACAATGCTAGAACAGCCAAATGTGTTTTATCATTTGTCTTAATGCAAACAAGCAGGAACATAAAGAATTTTCCATAAACTTAAAAATGTTGTTGTAGATAAGTGAGGTAAGGATGCTACTTTTTAATAATATTGCATCAGATAGAGGTCATTGCTTAATTAGACTATATGTTAAATAATTTAAAGCTACCAAATCTGCTTTAATTAAAAATGTATTAATATCTACATTCTTTACTGTAGATCCAAATTGACAGTTACAGAATGACTAACCCATGTGTTGCATTGAAATAAATTGTAGCCATCGATGGTTATGATTACTATTAAATATGTACGGTACCTAACCATTCCAATACAATGTAAACAATTGTAAACTGTAAATAGATTATTTTTAATTAATTTCCACAAACACTGAGCGTTTCTTTCACTCATTTTTTCTTTCAAACAATATCAGCTCCTTTGCAGATAGTGCATTAACATACAAATGCCTGGGCTGTTGATGTGACAAATATCCCACTGGCTGAATCTGGTATATACAAGTTCTTATTTACAATACAAGGACCCAGATCCATTCAAATAAAATTGATCACCCGTTAATCATGTCTTTTTCTCTGCAACTAACACAAGCTGACAGATACACATGTAAAAAGACGGTTTTGTTCTGTATCAGGTTAACTTGGGTGATTGTAAGTATTTCAGCTAATTTTTTAACCCATAAATGAGGCACTTGCTTTCTTTAATTCCTGATGTCTTTAAAATATCTGTGTGCTTTCTGTTCACAATTTGCAGCTATGATTGGATCCAAGTCTGATTAAACATTTCCAGACTACCAATATAAAGTATACTCCACAATTGTTCATGTTTGTTCTGCAACGAAAAGATGAATCAATCTTAAATACATACCTGGTGTATTTATCAGATGACAAGATTTCAATGTCAGATTTTAATTAAGATTCAGCCTTTTTTACCCTTACATATTATTATAACTACAAGTATATATACACATTTGTGCACAGTGTAAATTGAAGGTTTATGGACGCTTTGGAAAAAATAGCTATTGATTTGGGAAAATATTGCAGGTTATTAAATTGAAAAGTAAATGTTGTAATGTCAATATTATTCAAAACATATGTTTTGTTAAGCTGTTCATCTGATGAAAAGCAAAAATAATTTGTTATAAAGTCAACTCAAAAGGATTGATGTCAATTCATTGCAGCTTCTTTAGGGGAATTTATCAATTGCGTCCAGTTCATAGTATTATTAGGCTGTTTTCTTATTTACAAAGTGTAAAGTACATTTTCAGGTTCTTAAAATAGGGGTGGTGGTGGGAAAGGGAGGTAACCCTCAGCTCCAAATCAAATTAGGTCAGATGCAAAATATTTTGGGACCTCAACTTCAATAAATAGTCAGCAGGCAAGATTCTATCATTAATGCTACACTTGTCAGTCATACGCTGTACATCATTGAGGAGAGCCACAGATACTAAAGACAGCGTTCCAAAACTATGTCCAGTTAATTATATATATTTTTAAAAAGTGATTAAAAAGTTGTTTGTTTTTATTGGTAAGTGAACTTGAGTTTCTGTGTTTTGCTGAAATCCAAACACACGCATTATACATTCACCATATTAACAGTTGCTTTTGTGACTCTCCAAAGCACCCTTTACATTAAAAGTTGATTTTTCATTGATAATTTATTTGCAGACGAACTGATCAACTACTTTGGAGCATTTTCTGCATTTGACATAACAGCACCAGTGAAATTTACAATGGCATCTCTCAATTTGCGTATTCTTGAATTGGTCATAGCCCCGTCCACAGCACATGAGCTTACAGCCATCCATTCCCTCAGATGTCTTGTTACAGAGGCGGCCTGTTGTGCCCAGCGAACCTGTTGTCTCATTCTTCACACAGTAATCGGGGCTCTGGTCAATGTAAACCAGATCATCTGCTGTAGGAGGGTTGAAGCGACTGTTGACCAGCTCCAACTTTCCTTTGCGGTTGATTTTCATGGCAGCAGCACTATCATACTTTTCTTTCAGTAGATCCCCCACCTTCCTGAAATCAGCAAGCTGAAGCCAACATGTCTTCAGACTGCAGGAGCCAGAAACACCATGACACTTACAAGCCACATCAGCCAGATTGTACACAGCCTAAAAAAAGAGATAGAACAAATCATGTTAGGTCTGTTCAAATTAGATTTCAAGAGATTAGTTGACCTGTGTTGAAATATTTATTCTTTACAATAAAATAAATTCTCGTTAAATATATGCCAAAAAATTATTCGTTTTTTTCCCCTTATTTTGAAATAAATTTTGTCTTCCCTTCTTTTGGACCTCTTCTTACCCTCCTTGTGATTGTATCATGCTCTTCTCCCAGGACCCCCACTAAGGCAGCTTAAGAGTCAAGCAAGAATAATAATAATACTAATAATAATGATGTTATAATAATAATCCTTGCATTTGACATAGCATCTTATCACTTCATCAAAACATCTTACAGCATTTCACAGGATATACTGTAAAGTGGTTTGACTGTGTATTTTGTGGGTGATTTATAACTAGAACAAGTTACCACAAAGTATGGTTGAGGCCAGGTCAGTGGACTCATTTAAAAAGCAGCTTGATGTTGTGATGGGAGGATGGAAGGATGGATGTTCTGCAGTAATGAGACCAAAAGGCCTTCTTCATCAAAACCAATCTCATGATCTTGTGACTTGCAGGAGCAGGGGAGGTAGGGTTCAGCTCCAATTGCTAATAGACTGAATCAGGAATTTTCTGTATGGAGAATTGTACAACCAAATCCACTGAGGACCTTTAAGTTTATCTAGTCTTCATAGCTCATTTAGGTCTGGAGGTCAGACTTATTCTTCTCCTTTGTTTTGCCACCACGACATTATGTAGTTCAGCAAGATTTTGGGGGAATTGAATTCAAATAATTTGCCAACATACCCCAACAGTAAGTTTGGTTCCTTGCTGACTCACAATGTTTGAGCATGGAGACTGGCAAGTCAATTCTTTCCACACACCCCTAGGCAATATGTATCCCTTCCATGGAATACTTGCATTCCAAGTGTAAATTTTTTAAAAATTGGTCATTCGTTTCATGGTCATTTGTTTGTGGGACATTGATGTGCGCAATTGTGCTGCCACGTTTGACTACATATTCACTCCTTTTCACAACACATTTCCTGTGAAATATTTTATGAAGCGTTTTGTGACTTCCTTCCAACATAAGACACTATACCAATGCTAGGATTATTATTATTGTCGCCTACTGTTTTATTTCCAATTTTTGATACCTAGCATTTATCTGTATTGAACTTTGTTTGCCAGGTATCATCCTTTTTGTAAGTTTTTGGCTGCGCTTTTCTAAATCCCCCCAAGATTGGTGTCATCTGTGAATTTAATTACCTTCCAATGAAGTCTGCCAACTCAAGTTATTTATGTAAACAAGGAACAGGAGGGGGTCCCAACAAACCCCCCTGAGGAACTTCAGTCAATGTCGATCCTCTTATGATTAGCTGCTTATTCCTTTCCTTTGGCTAGTTAATAATCCATGTCCGTTGTTTAATCTTGATACGTATTGACATTGATTAAAAATAATTCTTACGTAAGATATTAGCACCTATTACACCAAGAATGTCTCAAACAGCATCACAAAGTTTCTGTAAAGTGGAGTAAATCAGTTTTATGCAATTGGCTCAGACAGCAGGGGAAAAAAATCCTCTCTCTTTACCAAAGGATCTTTAACATCCACCTGAACAGGTAGACAAGACTTTGGTTTCACATCTCTCCCAAAGGATGGCATGTTGGACAATGCAGCACCCAACTTAAACGCCTTCGGAAGTCTAATTACATCAAATGATATCTCACTGTTAATTTAGGCTGTCATCTTTTTCAAGAAATAGATGAAATTCAGGCTAAATTTACCCCTTCAGAATATTAATGCATTTTATATAAGGTATTTGCTCCATATATGTCTACAATTTTGTTTAAATAATATGTCATTTTATCATTATCCTTTTTGTGATTTGTAATTTTAACCCAACAACTTTAAATAAGCAAGCTACAATGACATTCAGCATGAGTCTCCCATGGAGCCAGTTCCCTTTCCAGCCCCGAGTTTTGTAAGTTTTTTTTATTCTTTATTTTATAACAGTTTTACAGGATTAAAACAGCAACAAATATAGGTGGCAGGAAACCAATAATTAGAAATGAATCCAAACAAAACCTGTCAAACCTTTTGCAACAGCAATAAGCAGTCAAGGAATAAATGTTTGGATATCCATTCTGACAATTTACCTACAATGAATCTGTAACATTTTAGGAGAGCAAAGAGTATTGTAGACCACAGCTGGAATACAGGAACAGGATGTTAAAGGAAACAATGGTAAAGATCTTTAAGAAAAATAAGGGGTTGCCAAATAAAATGGTGCAATGGGGCCTATCGTCACAAGAAAAAGAGATGATCTTTCCATTGGGGAAGGCAGGTGAGATCTACACAGAAAATCAAGAATATGGGGAAAGAAGCCTATGAAACGGTAGTAATACAATAGGATAACCAAACAAAATCATATCTACATCAAACCAGAACAGTTTTCCCTCCCCAAAGTTTAGTAAAGGAAGGAATACCACACTCAAATGAACTTTTCCAAATCAAGATGGAGAAAATATATTCAGTTCTGATGAAAGGTCATTGATCTGAAACGTTAACTCACTTTCCTCTCTACATAGATGCTGTCTGACCTGCTGTGTGTTCCCAGCGACTTCTGTTTCTATTGAAGAAAATATATAATTTTCCTATTGTGCTATCTTCCATAATCTAGACACAAAGGTCAACCTGATAGTAAAAGGCTGGGAGACATTGATATGCAAGAGAAAGTAGGTCAATCTGGTGCTCCTGATTGATGACTTAATTCCACCAGAAGTCACAGCACATATTGACGTAAATTGGATTATGTTCGAAGATCACCAGTATTCTTTTACCCTAGGACATATCCACAATGTGGGAGAGTGCAGCCTCATCTAGAGTGCCGCCTCATCTACCCTGCAGCCCTGTCATCAGGAAGGTGACAGGGCTGCAGGGTAGGCAGCCATGCTCATGTTGTCTAGTATGGTCATGTAATGAATATATTATCAGGAGTACTTTTTAATCCATAAAGGATATTTTTTCTTCAACGAACGATTTATTCTTGGATTGTTTTAAAAACAGTCACATTTTAGGGGGGATTATTAGCCAGTACACTGGAGTTAATTCCCTTCTCGTTTCCAATAGTGCCATGGGATCTTTAATGTTCACTTGAACTGTCCATACCCAGCACTGCATTGGAATAGCAGCCTAGGCTATGAGTTCAAATCCTGTTATTGGGCTTCAACGCACAACCCTCTGACTCAGATGTAAGAGGGCTACCAATTGAGCCAAGATCACACATTGTTATCCATATTCTTTCTTCCTTGCTGCAATTTTATCTTGACCAGGAAAGGCTATGATATATAGTCTTCAGAGACCAACGGTTAACCTGGTTATTATTGCTCAACATTCAACCCTCTTGAAATATCTAGCAGAAGAACAAGTTATTATCGCCACCTATCGACAACTGTAAAAGTTACACTGACCAGTTTGCCCGACATTTTGAAAATCCTGCCTCACTTCAACATAACAAAAGAGAAACATCATTTTTTTTCTATAAAGCATAAAGTATATAGAGAAATGTTGTTGGTGTTTAATGTTTTAATATTTTGAGTTTCTGTTCCTAATGTTTCAAAAGTAAATTTTTTCCCAACGTTGTTGTATTTTGTTTTACAGTATATTATGTGAGGCAGGACAGGGTAAAGCATTGAGAAAAATGTCAAAATGTACAGATGCTGCAAGTTGTTCAAGGTTCCCATAAAATAGTTTCCTCTGCCTTTTCAGGTCTATTCATTACCAGAATCATTGAAACAATTGTCAGGAAGCATGGTTGAGCTCAAAACACTGGACTTATTTTTAAAAAGCTTGTTCTGGAGGGATTAGCTCAGATGGACCAAAGGACAATCCAAACCAATGTTGTGATCTTGTTGTGATTGCTTTAATTTTGAGTGGCTTTCTTTGAATGTACCTTGAGCCATTTGTAATCGGACTAAGTAATTGTCTTCATGTTACCAGTAATATAATACTATTGTAATTATGTTTTATTTTAAATAAATTGTTCTGATTCTGTTTTGGTAAGATGTTGTAGTAATCAAGGTGAGAACTGCTACCATGGTAGATAGGACTCCTGCCTATTTTGAACACCCAGTGTTACCATCAAGTTCTCCTAGTTCATGAGTAGATGGAAAATATAGATATCTCTCCTCTCCCCCAACAATATGGCTTAGCCATAGCCTGAGAAGAGCCCTATTTCCACAAGTATGACATTTGTCATTTACCACACCAGCCATTCTTTTGGCTGGTCTCGAGTGAGATTGCTAATTTAGTGTCAAATTACAGCAAGTGGTTTGCTGTGGGCAGAGTCCATAAGATTTTCAGTGCAAACTGAGATCAGATTATAAAACCTGAACTAGATTCAAAACCAAGTTCAGAGAATTGAAAGGCCAGTATGACAACATACTACACTAGCTCCTTTCTCCCCCTGTATCAATTACATCAGGAATCCTAACTAACAATCAATTATTATAATTCAATTAAAAACAGAGTGAAACTTTTAGCTGTATAGTGAATCAGATTTAGTGACAACTGCAAGAGCATGTATAACTCGGCACACAAAGACTCCCCAAGTTCAGGAGTACAACAATCCAATAATTTGCACTTATTTAGTTCACAGATCACTCCAGTTTGCATCAACTATTGTGCCATAATAAACAAAAAAAACAACAACTTGCTTCTATACCACATCTCGGAGCACTAACATGAGATAAAAAACATAAGGAAACATAGAACTTAGAAAGGTTTTTCAGCCTATCACATCCAGCCTCCATACGATCAAATAGGATTTTATCTGACTGCAGGAAAGGCTTGTTTCCCCCATCTCTGTATATCAATGTACTTATAAACCACAGTAACATCAGATCCAGATTTGATTTTACAGTCACTGTCCACAGTTTATTTATTTCATTAGTATTTATATCTTCCAAGTTGAGGCTCTTAAGATATTTCTTTCACATCACAGCTT